CAAATAGTTGACACAAAGTCCATACTGATGTGTGTGTGTGTGTGTGTATACATATATAATTGTGTCTGGGGTTTGAACTCAGGGCCTCTTGCTTGCGCAACTTCCATGCTCAACTGAGTCTCTATGACATAGGCCATGTTTCCAGCCCAGCTTTCTGATGAATCTTCTGGAGATGGAGTCTTGGAATTTTTTACCTGGGGTCACTTTGAAAAAAGGTCAGCAGCCAGATCTCAGTCTCCTGAATAGCTACGATTACAGGAGTTAGCCACCAGCACTTGGATTTTATTGTATATTCTTGATCCAGAATTTTGCTATTGTACTTATCACCATTGAATAATAATATTATCATTTAGGTTTGAAAAAATATTACCAGAACATGTTTGACCTTCTGAGAATTTAAAATATTTGTTCCAATTTAATTAATAGAGAAATAGGAATGAAACATAGGTAAGTAGAGACTCACAAAAGAATATGGATTGGTATTATTTTATAATTATTTCAGCTAGGTAAGTGCTTTTACAACTTAAATATACTTGGTAACCAATCATCTGGAATCTTCTTAAATTGTAGATTATGATTCTTTAAATCCAACTGACAGAGAGTCTGCATTTTTAACAATTTAACTAGTGATGTTGTGCTTCTACTCTAAAACCTCTTTGATATTCAAGGAATTATCACTTGAACATTATTCAGTTAAAGTAAGTTAATGATTTACCCAAAGTACCATGCAGAATATAATTAAGAGTATGAGTTTGTACATCTTTAAAGTGTTCTCTGCACTGTTGTTGGGAATAGAAACTAGTACAACCACTCTGGACAGCAGTCTGGAGTTTCCTGAAAAACTAAACATAGACTTTCCCTTTGACTCAGCCATACCACTCCTGGGCATCTACCCTGAATATCATGACCCAGGATATAATAAGGACATCGGCACATCCATGTTCATTGCCACACTATTGACAATAGCCAAGATATGGAAACAGCCCAGATGCCCCACAATAGAGGAGTGGATCAAAAAAATGGGTACCTATACACAATGGAATTTTACACAGCCATTAGAATAAAATAATGTCATTTGCAGAAGACAATCATGTGAAGTGAAGTGGGCCAATATCAGAGAGAGACAAAGGGCACATATTCTCTCTGATATGTGCAAGTTAGGTCTAGAATGCACTGGGGTATGACAAATTATACTGGATTCTAGAAACACACACTGAGGCCAAAAGTGGATACTCCTAGGAGAGAAACACAAAAGTACAATGCCTAAACACTTCTTCATATTTATATAAAATAATATACATACTGAAATGGACTCCAAAATAGGGAAACAAGAGACTTTTTTTCTTTTCCTCCCTTCCTTTATTTTTCAGGTTTTCAGATTTTGATGATTCTGTCTTCTTTACCTTAAGTATGGTATATTCAAGAGTAGGATTGGAAGGATTGGGGAGAGAGTACAAAACTCAAGGGAAAAACAGTGAAAACGTGCAGCAGTGGAGCTCACTGGACACTGATGAAGGTGAACTATACAACTTGTGGGTAGAAATGGGAGAGAGGGACTGGGAAAGAGTGAGGGAACAGAAGACACTATGAAAGGAAATGCATTCATTATCTGACTCCTGTAAGTGCAATCCCTCTGTATATCACCTCTATAATAAATGAATTTAAAAAATGTTCCCTGAAAAAAATGTAATTTAAACATTGGAACAATGAACCCCAAGATAAGGACTCAATGTTTTTTCTTTCTTGCTATTCTTTCTAACATATTTATAAGATGATTTCTTTGTTGCTTTGTATGTCCCTCCCCCACGGTATAACCCCTGCTTTCACTGTATTTGATGTCAGTATAATTTGTGGAGGGGAAGGAAAAAAAACAAGTTGTTTAAATAGGGATACAGGTGGACCCATTGCAACGATGAGATGTACAAGATGTACGAACTTTACAACTTTTTCCGGGGGGGGGGTGTGGGGGAGAGGGAGTGGAAGATGGGAAGGGATGGTAAGGGGAAACAAAGGAGCAAAGGAGGAGGCAACAATGCTTGATAAGAAATGCACTCATTACCTTGCTCATGTAATTGTAACCCCTCTGTACCATATTTTCACAACTAAAAAAAACTTAAAAAAATTTAATTTAGTTCTTCACCCATCCATTCATATATTCACATATGCAAAGTGCTAGTCACTTTACTTGAGACAGAACAATCCACTCATTTGTTTAAAACTTTTATTGCCATATCCATTCTCATATATTATATTTCAAGACTGCAACAATCAAGATTTGGGGGGAATAAAGATGAAGCAGATGTATTAGACACATTTTTTTCAGCCTAGTCAAAATGTGGTTGACAGTTCACCATGATTTTGCATGTTATGGCATTTGTTTTCACTCAAATACTATTCATATCTCTGTTCGTGCTGATGTAAACCAGAACATAACTTCACTTGGCCTCTTTACTGATTTGCTTTCATTTTCTCCCTTACCATCATAAAGGTTTTAGTTTCCCCCTGCATGTTCTAACCACAATTATCAGAGAAGTTGATAGAACTTGCTGTGCTTATCTTTATGAGTCCTTGTAGAAATGTCAGTAAATCTCTTTTGCTCTCTGCAGGTTGCATTTTTCAATCAAATTAATTAGTTTATTCATAGAAAAGAAATGTTGTTGTCCCAATGCCAGTTATCTCCTTGTACTTCCACAGTTGGAAATTTTAACTTTTGCTTTTTTCCCCTTACCTATCACCACCCCCTTGGTAATATATAGTATAAAACAAAACAAGGATCACTTAGCTTATTCTTAGGAATTCCACTCCAACGCTGACATTTTCTTGTTTAAATGTAATTCTCCCATTTTAACTTCCACATACTGTTAGATATTTATTAATTATTTGACCAATGTCAGATGAGTGGTGGTTAAATAAATGTATGGATACAGATAGATAAGCTAAGCTAAGACTCGAAATTGAATTCAGGGCCTCATACTTTGCTCAGCTTCCTTGCTTATGGCTTTCACTCTATCACTTAAGCCAGTCTCCAGTCTGTCATTTTGCTAGTTAATTAGAGATCAAACCTTGAAGGCTTTTTTAACTGTGGCTAGCTTCAAACCATGATGTTCCAGGCCTTGACTTCCTGAGTAGCTAGGCTTACACGCCTGGACTATTGGGACTTGGCTTCTTAATGTGTTACTTTTGAAACTGTATAAGATATTTTGTCAAAAGCTGTACTGACTAATAGGTTGGCCTAGACTTCTTGATAATCATTTTAAAAGCTTCAATACAAACAGAAGTCCTCAAATATTCCCTAAGGACAAAGTGATTTTATGCTAATCTTGGATAAGTGCTAATATTGTGATTTTAGGCTTCCCATTCTTCAATGGTGTGGGAGTGAGGAAATTATACATCTACATATGTGCTTAGGTACATTGTCATTTGTCATTTAATGTTACATAACAAGGGATTTTTTAAAAGAAACTTTAAAAAAGTTATAGTAACAGACAAAAGACATGGAATTTTAATTTCAGTTTGCATGTACATTTCTTGCAACTCATTTCAAGTTAGAATTGACTGAATGGTAATTCATTGGTCCTGTTCAGAAAAAGGAAATTCAGAAGAAGATTGAAAAGTAGAGTATACAAATAAAGACCCGAGTGTGACTAGGGGAAGAGTACTTAAAAGAAAACTTTTTTTAAACTTTCTATTTTTTATGGGGTTACTGTAGTTAAGTTGCACAGATCAAAGCAATTGGAAGCTCTAGCCTACAGCCTGCGGGAATCTGACCACAACTAGACAGCTCTGTATCTTATGATCCATGATGATAAATGGATACAGCAAATAAGTTATCCTGTGGGTATTGGGAACAGAAAGCAAATCCAATAGTTATAACTAGTACAACGTTCACCTTTAAGGTGAGTTGCAATCATCACAATGATGTCAGCAGGAGAAAGATGTCAATATATATAGACTAGTTTCTTCTAGATACAGTTGTGAAAATTCTGTCTTACATATCTTACTTATCCTTTGAAAAAACATGAGCTTAAAAATGTGTTATCTCCCTCTCTATTGTTGTAATATAATTTAGTACTGGAATAACAATCCTTTCAGCATATCTAATGAGTTTCTTTGGTCCTATTTTAAAGCTTTTAATCTTCATAAATAATAGCTAAGTAAACTTAAGGCACTTGGACAAATTCTTTAGTTTAATGTATTCAAAGCCACAGTTGGCACTTCATTTCTTTTCATTTAAAAATAAATCTATCTTGTCTCAATAGGCTCTACATGAATACACATACCTAACAATGTAAATCAAAGCTAACACATCTAGAATAATGAAATCTGCTTGTTACTTTTGTAAGAAATACACTATATTCAGAAATATCTTAAAAGCTCATCTCTTCATAAAGTTAACACACACACATATATACATATATATATACTATCAAAATCATTCAAATCCAATTATATACTTGAATAAGGATTGCCAAACACAGCTGAGAAAGTTTTCTCAAGAGAATTTCCATTAACTGATGAATAACTCTTTAATATTTTTGAGGCATAGAAAGTTTCCTGTCACCTAGTGCTAACACATGATTTTATGTATATAATTTCTTGTACATACTTTTGCATTTTAATTTTTAAAGAAAGAATAGAAAATATTATTTGTGACAAAAGAGTAAGAATTTAAAAGTTTAGTTCTCCAGATAAAAAAAAATTACTGACTTTACATCTATACTTCAATAATGAAAGTGAAACCTAAAATGGTAATGATATTAATGTCCCATGAAGAAAAGTTGCATGCATTAGGAACCACTAGGAGTCACATTATCTAATTGTACCAAAATAATAGTAATGTTCTAAAACTTGGTATCTTTTGAGACGAAATCTCACTATACAGTTCAGGTTGCCCTTAAACTCACAATACTACTGCCTCAATCTCTCACATAGCTGGTGTTAGAGGTATATGCTACTATGCCCAGATAAATGTTCTATTTTCATTAATTTAAAACACTTACTTGCTTTGTTTTTCCATACTAGCTACCCTGAGGCATTCCCATCTGGAATTTAGGAGATTCATTTGTTCTTGTACTTCAGTTTCTTCATCTTCTGATAATTTTCCTGATCCAATTAGTCGACTTCCCAGTTGTAGAATATTACCAACCCTTCCCTGATGTGATGTCAAATCCATCATATATCCCTGACACAGAAAAAATTCACAATTATAAGCAACACCTTAGGTAAATCATTGTGAGTTACACTTTTTTTGAAGTCTTAAATCTGCAGTGCTTTTAAATATGCACTCCATTTACTTTTTTATTTTTAATTTTTTTATTATTTTTAATACTTGTTAAAAAGAGGTGCCATATTACAAAGCAGTTTATGAATACAATGCATCTTGCTCAGTGTCACCTCCATCAGCATTCTCATAACCTTCAACCCAACCTTCCCTTCCTTTTCTTAATTTAGTGATATTAACAATAAATTCTTGACAAATTCTCCCTTTCATTTGTCTACCCATCTCTCCTTGATCCCACCTCTTGCTCATACTCATTTCCTGGTGTTTATTTTGTTGGGCCTTGAGATCCGCATAGTCTACTATACTTGAGCCAATTCACTTGGAACCACTTGCATATTGTTCTACATGTTTATTATAAATTTATATGTACATTCCATCACCACAAATGAGGGAAACCATACAACCTATGTTTCTCTGGGCCTGGGCTTACTTTAATAATTTTTTCCAAGTCTTTCCATTTCCTTACTAATGATACAATATCATTATTTCTAATAGATGAGTAAAATTCCATTGTGTACATGCACCATATTTACTTGATCCAAATTCATCCATTGAGGGTCATCAGGGCTGATTTTATATCTTGGTCATGTATATAGTTGTGCTTGTGGCTTTCCTGTAACATTGTTTGTGTCCTATTAAATAAATTTCCAAGAGTGGAATTGCTAGGTCATAGGGAATCTCTACATTTAGCTTTTAGAGGAACCTCCATATTGCTTTCCAGAGTAGTTGAACAATCTTATATTCCCACTAATAGTGTAGTAGTGTTCCCTTTCAGCCACATCCTCTATAGCATTTGTTATTTGTTTTCTTGGTTGTGGTCTTTCTAACTGGGGCCAGGTAGAATCTCAGTGTTAGTTTTGATTTGTATTTCCTTTATGGCCCGAAATGTCCATCATTTCTTCACGTTGGCCATTTTTACTTCCTTTGAGAAATCTCTCTTTAATCACTAGCTAATTTATTAATTGGGTTGTTTCATTTAATTTTTCTTTCAGGAAACTATGTCATACTAAACAGGAATTAAGCAAAGTTATTATTTCAGGATACATTCTGGAAAAGCAGACCCTAAGAGAAGGAGTACAGTAGACACGATTTTTAAGGAATAAATCCTAACAAGACTTGCAGGAGAAAGAGAAAGTAAAAAATTAGGAAAGGAAACAGGGAAAGGGAAGAATCTAAGCAAGGAGGTGATCTCAGGAAAATTTTTCTACTGCGGGTCACACAGTCTACTGGAGTATAATTAGAAACCATGTCTTGGCTTGGACCTAACACAAAGCCAGGAAACTGGGCTTTTGTCTTCTTCCAGGAGCCATTGGCAACCCACATCTCAGCACTTTGGAGGGCTGTTCTCCAAAGAACAACTTGGAACACTGGTTATAAATACCCCAAGCACATATTTTTTGTTTCTATCTCAAAATGAAAAGTAAATGTTCAAAATGTAAGTCCCTTGAAGAACCACTGAAAAATAAGAACACTTGGCATTATAATTCATTAGCTTAATTTCAGAAATTTTAATGTCGCTTTTTACCTCATGAGTATGAAATTGTTCTTTCACTTCTTCTACATCATTTGAAATTCCTCCTTGAGCTTGCAGTGCATCCTCTGCAGAAAGAAGCCATGAGAGTACTTCTTCTAAAGCTGTTTGGTAGCTGTCCAGGCTTACTTCAGTCTCTGTCAATGAACTGCCAAATGACTTGTCTTCAGGAGCTTCCAAATACTGAACAATAAAACAAATTGGGTGTTATACAATTAGTATCATAGCAGACTGTTCCAGTACATTAAATGATAAATCAAATGAAATATTTAAAATGCTAGAAATGTCCACATGCATTATCAGAGACATGAACAGCAGACACAGAATAGTGGGCCTGCATTTTAACATCTTCACAAAGACACAAAACAAATTCTCAAATGACAGTTAAAAGCTAGAATCTATACCAAATTAACATTTTATTAATGTTCTTCTAGATTGCTATAGGGTAAAACACTATATTGTCTCATTAGCAGAATTTTATATGCTATGTAATCTCATACATAGGTTACTTTCTCAGTTCATATTTACAATCCTTTACATATGCATTATTGAATTTAAATTTACATATTCTTTCAATGGCTTTAAAGAAAATATTTCTTCCCAAGAGGGCATAAGTAATAAAATATTTCCCAAAACTTTATAGATCACTGAAATTATCAGTGAGAAAATAAGTGTGTGGGTAGATAGAGTGATGAAAAATTTAAAAAAAAAGAATACCTTGAAGGCATGTCTTAATTTTCTAACAATATAATCACTGGAATAAATTAAACATGTATTGCCAGAAGTGAATTATATGAATCTCCAGATGTTTTCTTAAGAGAAGTAAAATATGTATTGCTCTCTACCCAATTTAATTAACAGGTGAGAACTCAGAGTTTTCTTAGACATTTTGGTAGGATTGTAAAAACAAGAACAATAAAAGATGCAAGACACCCATAACTCTAAAAAGAAGCTGCAGGCTATGTATGAAAAAAATTGCTAAAAGGTTATCACAAAACTAATCTCATAAACCTTAATCTACTATCTAGCTCAAAGGTATATTAGAAGAAGCAAGGCTTTTACTTGAAGAAATATTGTGAAAGGATTCCTTTGCAGAGCAGTCTATAACACTCATTTTCAACCTCTAAACTTCCATGTGTTGGCAGATTCACCTTCTCTACAACCAGTACTATCAAGTGACAGGAGAAATTCTTGAGGATAATCTACATGCTGCTGCTTCAGTGTTAGGGCAATTATCAAGGAAAAAACATTGAATAATTAAGGAAGTCTACATTAAGTTTCATTGTGTCAAGGGAACCGATGGTAAACTTCTGGACTTCAGAATTCCTGAAGACCATATTCAAAGGGGATTTGATTCAGAATGAGGGACACAGACAAACTTGAAATAGATTTAAGCAGAGCAAAATTATCGCAGTAATATTGAATCCTACTATGTACCGAAAATATTACAAGCAAACACTGGATCCTAACAGACATGGTTTTGCAAAGGAAGCAAAGGGCAGAATGGATAAATGAAAAGTTAAAAGATTTCATGATCTTGCTTAGAGAAAACTCAGCTTTTAATAGCTCTCCATTGTGACTGTCCTTATTTCCAATCTAACACAATAATGTGCTATAACTCACTGATCTAATAGCACTAACTTAATTTTGCTCATCTGATAATTTTGCTCAATCTGATCTTAAAATATTAATGCTGTCAAATTTTTAACTATTACATTCTTTTAGATGACAAAACACAGGGAGAATTTTTAGTGTGATCTTTTCATCAAGCGATATACACCTCTGCTGTTTACAAAGATCTGGCAAAACTATGCTATTTTGATAAATGAAAATCCACTTCTTCAAATATGTCAAACAGGACCTAAATATCTGAGAGGGCTGTTCACGTAAAAACCAAAGTGAAGACAATTTCTACAGGTCTTCAGGATTTGATCAAGTTCCATTGAATATCTTGTTTCTGTATTTCAGCATACCTATAAATAACATGTATCATTTTAAAAACTAAGAAAAGTTTCAAAAAGGTAACCTGAGAGATATACATAGGTAAAAGCCCAACTTTGTATTCTGCAACATGTTCACTCATATGGCTCAGAACTCACCTGTGTTTCTTTACCCACAGTTATCATTTTGAAATCTTTAGTAATTTTCTCTTTATAGTTGGTTCTCATAAGTGAAGTCCAAGGGAAACAAAGTATTAACATGAAGAAAGAACATAGGTACACAATGTGTGTCTCTATATTGTGTTGTCAATTAACAGGAGTACAGAGTTCTGGTAAATTTAATATATATAAAAATATAAAAAGATTTCAACTATAATTGAGTAAATGAATATACCAGGAGATCTAAGTGATTATACTTTTCATTATACATACAGGAAAAAAAAGCAATTCTAATGAATTTTGATGACCAAGAAACCTTATCATACCCTTTATTACCTGTTCCACAATCCTGACTTAGTCAATGATTTATGTTAAAATTATTGACACAGAAAGAAATGTTAGAGCAGCTCACAGTTCCTTTTCGATTTCAGTTTTACCTTATCGATAAGCTGAAAGGGAAATGAATTGGTAGAAAATAAACTTATCAAGTGAAACTTATCAAGTAAGACAAATATGATGCATATTTCCACATAATGGTAAGAACAAAAATATATGCAACTTGCTTCCCCTCATTTGTAGTAGACAGAATGTACCTATAAATCTATAAGTAAAAATGTTGAGAGGTATGCAAGTTGTTACAAATGAACTAACTGAAGTATATTAGACTCTGTGAAGAGCTCAAATAACATAATATTTTATAAAGACTAGACCACAGCTCAACAAAATCAGCACCAGGAAATGGATACATACAAAGGGGAGGGGGTGAGGCCAAGGGGAGAAAGGTTGACGAATGAAAGGGGCAAGGGAGAAACTTTGCAACCAAGAATTGTACATACCATAAAATTAAGAAAAGTAAGGAAAGGATGGGTCTGAGAGGGGTGAGACTATTGAATAGGTAACAATAATCAAGATGCAATATATTCATAAACTGTTTTCTCAATGGCACCTCCTTTGTACAACTACTAAATGATAATTTAAAAACATTACAAATGGGAAGATATATGCAACTAATAGCAAGGTCATGCAGATTATATAACTTGGTGATTTTGCAGAGTAAACATTCATATTTCCATTCACAACTTTTTTGTACAATATAAAAATGAACAATAAAATCTGTGCTAGTTCTTTGTTTACAATTTTATTTATTCAGTATAATGCTAAAAGAAAATCAGATTGTGGCAGGTTATAAAAGAGACCATGGAACAAATTATTTTATGTTAACAAATTTGACATACTTTTTCTTACTCTATGATCAAATGATTCTTTGTTTCATTTTTTAACTGGGATTCACAAATTATATAGCCAGCCCTGCATATATGTAAAAATCCAGATCTAAACATTGTGCTTTCTGTAGGCTATAGGTGAGAAGAGATGGGCGATTTATTACGTGCAGTAAAATGCAGTTGTTAATCACAGGGGTATTAGAGGCAAAGAGTTGGTGCTTGAATCTTGACTCTGACTCTGAACTGAAGTCCTGTGACTATAGGGAAGTTATTTAACATGACAAAAGTCTTGGTTCACTCATATATAAAATGATAATAACACTAACTTCAAAATTAAGATTATGCTAAGACCCCCAAAACTCATAAGAACGAACTTATCAATTATTTTAGTCAGCTTTCTGAAATCAAAACCTCAATCTGGAACCTATTTATGGGTTCTGACAAAATTATTAAAAATATAATGTTCATGTGATCTTCTCCAACTGATGAAATATTCAAGATATTATTTAAGTGACAAAATACTGTATTCTACCATTAGACCAATTGAATTAAAATATTAAACACTGGATGATATATTTATATTTAAATCGGCTTAATTTTTAGAGAACAAATTAAAAGCATATCGTACATATAGGCATTGAAAGGATAATTTAAAGCTCTTAAATTATAAGTCTTAGTGGATTTTTCTAAGGACATTCATATAAGGTGAAACATTGTAAAGAAGGCTACTTAAAGCTAAATATTATTAAGGATAAACTTCATAAAATTATATACACATTTAGTTATTATTAATAACTATAAATTAAACTAGACATATCATATCCTGTTATATATGCATTTATTTGCATGTACAATAAGGTATAATATGATAAAAGTTTCTTCTGTGCCATGAATAAGTCTTTGTGCAGATAACTGGTTTTCATTTCAGTGGGTTGTGACTAGAAATATTTTAAATTTAACAATTATTTTTTAAAATATCAGTCAACACTCCTAATAAGTTCTATTTTAATTTGACATACTATATATATATATATATGTCTAAATACATATTTATGTATATTTGTTCTTGGTGAAGATTAGCTTTTTGTGGAGTTCATGAAATACAACTGGAAATTATTTCCAATGAAACAGAACTCAGAAAGGATGAAATTTTCTTGAATTGCACCATTGCATATTTTCAATAAACTATTAGAATTAAAAGAGGGCTTTTAATAAAACATCTCTTACAGAAGATCTGGAAATATAAGAATTTAGACAAGGCTATATTTCCTATTTCAGCATGCCCAAATATGCTTTTATCATCACAGAATTTCATATCTAAGCTTGTGACTAGTTTCTATATGTTCTTGCATCAAAGCAAGTTTTCTAGGAATCCTGAGCTTTGATTTTTGCAGATCTTTGCACTAGTGGGGGGAGGAAAGAGATAGAGGAACAACAACAATGGAGTAGAACAATGTTCAATGAGAAATGGACCTTACTCATGTAAATGTAACTTCTCTGTATAGCAACATTACAATAAAATAAAATTTAAAAAAAGATTGAAACCAATAATTTTGTAAATAGAGATACCATTATCACAAACAGGAACTCTTTTTTTCCTGATGCTTTAACCCTATCTTTATTAGCATAGATTATGGTTTTCTCCATTACAATGGGCAAATAGTAATGAGAAAAGCATAATATTGGATAGATGATGTAATTCTCATTTTTTATTGTGAAAATACTGTACAGAGGGGTTACAATTACATGAGAAAGGAATGAATACATTTCTTATCAAACATTGTTGCCTCCTCCTTTGTTTCCCCATTCCCAGCTTTACCATCTTCCACCCCCCCCCAGCCAAAGTTGTAAAGTTCATTTT